TTGGGCCCTGGATTATTTTATTTTCCAAACTTTTCTGATAAAAAAATGAACAAACATTAACTCTATCAGTTGATGATCATCAGTTGAGTATCAGTTGAGTTGTTCATGAAATGTGTTGGACGGATCCGCATTTAGTCCACCATAGATTTTATTTTAACAATAAGTAAACAGAGGTAAAATTATATAATCTAACATTGATTAGTTAAATCATCAATAATCCTAACATCCTTGGGTTATTTATTAAAAAATATCAGATTCAATTCAGACTCTGTGTTATATGCTGTGTTCAGGTGCTGCTGGGATAACTGGAAATCTGGGAATCGTTTCCTCTCAGCAGATAAATGAGTCCCCGAGGCTCAGTGAAACTAACCTGTATAAATAAAGGTTGAATGAACTGATGAGGGACCATTTGGTTAAAAAGAGAAACCTTCTCATTGTTTTATTCGTGAGAACTCAATTAGTCTAGAAGTCTCTGATCGACCTGAACGATTCAAGTTTAGTGTTTTTTTTCCAGAATTATTTTATTTTCCAAACTTTTCTCATAAAAATTAACAAACATTTACTTTATCAGTTGAAACAGTTTATAAAATGTGTTGGACGGATCCATTTTTAGTCCACCGTAGATTTTATTTTAACAATAAATAAAAAGAGGTGAAATTATATAATCTAACATCAATCAATTAAATTATCAATAATCCTAACATCCTTGGGTTATTTATTCTAAAATTTCAGATTCAATTCAGACTCTGTGTTAGATGCTGTGTTCAGGTGCTGCTGCGATAATCGGACATCTGGGTATCGTTTCCTCTCAGCAGATAAATGAGTCCCAGGTGACGACTTTTAACCCCAAATAAACATTTGGTTTTGAAGAGGACGTCCACTGGGAGACATTTGCTTTATTTTCTCATGTCCACCTGTGGAGTGAAGGACGGGTTTAAACACTTTCTGCTGCGAGGATCATCCATCAGCAGCTCCTCCACCACAATGTTGACTCCTCAAATCCTCGGCTGCCGGTGGTTTCTGGGGTTTGGATACTTTTAACCACATGAGATGCAAATGTGGCTTCAGAGACACTTTAGCGTTTCCTCTGAAGGGAAATCGTGTTTTTATTGGACTTTAGTGGGAAAGAAAGGCTTTGTAACATCCTAAAAAATGTAGAGTTTGAATTATTGCACACACACATACAAAAAATAAAAACAAAGGAGAGGTTCTAGTTCTAAATAAGTCATAAGCGTTAGTTTGTTCTTCAGAACACTACAAATTTACTACTCGTTAGGGCAAGTAGTTTTTTTAGGACACATGGTTGTTTTAGGGTACAGACATTTTTAAAGATGCTATAGTTGTTTCCGGACTTGTGTTAGTTTTAAAACATAAAGTTGTTTTAAGACGTGCAGTTTTTTATACGCCCTGTGAAAGACGGCTGTATTATGATATACGTTAGTCCCTTGATTATCGCGGGGATTACGTTCCACACACAAATAGTTGAAAAACCGCGAAGGAGGAACACTATATTTATTTGAGCATTTATATATACTAGTATATATAAATACAAGTCTAAATACATATATACAGGTCCTTCTTGTAAATGAGTCCTTGTGGCTTAATGAGACTAGCCTGTATAAATACAAAGTAGAATAGAATAGAATTCAACTTTATTGTCATTGCACATGTCACAAGTACAAAGCAACGAAATGCAGTTTGCATCTATACAGAAGTTCTTAGCAAAAAAAAGAAGAAATTGGTATATATACTACAATATACAGTAAGTTGCTTTGAATATGATATACGTATAAATATATACAGGTTGTGAGTGTACAGACTATGAACAGGTTATAAATGTGAAGGGGTATAAACAAACTATATAAAAGAAAAAATATATATATATAAGTATGTGAGTACTTATGAACAGTAGGTATTAGATTATGTGTACAGTTTGTACAGTAGTGGGCTAACAGACGAAAGTGCAGGTGGTGGTGTTTCAGTCCATGTGTTGTTGTTGTTGTGTGTATGAGAATACAGATCGTTGTTGTTCAGATGTCAGGAGGCAGAGTTCAGGAGTGTGACAGCTGTGGGGAAGAAGCTGTTCCGGTACCTGGTGGTTTTAATCCAGAGGCTCCTGTAGCGCCTCCCAGAGGGCAGGAGGGTGAAGAGTCTAAATAAATAATATTTTGTTAATAATAATAATAATAATAATCTAAATAAAGACTAAATGAAAAAGCATATATACTTTAAGGTTTTATAAACTTTTCCCACACTCTTGCAATGTTCTCAACTCTTAAACCTACATTATTTTAACAACTCACATATATGTACTGTACAGTACTGCAAAATTTTACTCACCAGCTCTGCAGCCCAGCAGCTCATCCGGTTGGGCTTGGTTCCAGTTCAGCAGACCTCCCCTGCAGCAACGAAGCCCACGGCCCCGTCCAAGTTGATGTGCACGTGGATAATTAAGCTTCAGGAAGCTTCAGGATTATTTGCGACTTTCCTGCCAGTTCTGTGAACTTAATAGATCATTACTTTTGACTTTGCGTTGCAAAACTTTCCCTCCATTTTGGCAGAAAGCTGTGGCCGGAAGCACTGTTGGCTTCTGGGAAGTGTAGTTCTTTTAATTGGCATTGCAGTATAGGCTTGTTGAAAGAAAACTACAAAATGGTGGCGCCTGTCCGAAGATTTTTTTTTTCCATTAACTTTTTATCCTGTACCGTCCCAATCCTGTGAGGAATATTAAAGTTGACAATCGTTGAAAAATCACGAAGGAGCGAGTCCACAAAAGTACAACCACGAAGTAGCATGGGACTACTGTAGTCAATGTCCGTCGGTAAACGTTCTCTTGTCTGGGTCATAATTTCTGGTTCGCTCAAGACAATTTTACTAAACTTCATACACATATGCATTATCTCAAGGTGGAGTGCCCCATACTCTTTTCATTGTTCCAGCTCCAAGGTCAAGGTCACAAATCAAGGTCAAACGTTCTTCAAGACTTTGCTTGTTCTGACCATTGCTGTAAATTGCTGTTTTGCTGTACAGTAATCTGTCATATAATGTACCACATGTGGTACTTTTAATACGATATGTGGTTATTTGAGAACACATGTTTGTTTTAGATCTCAATTATTTTAGGACAGGTAGTTTAGGACATAGGGCAATGACTAGACCTTTTTTGTTTAAAATCACGACATTTATAAACAGTATATAAAACCTTTTGATACTTTGATAGCCTAACAGCATACCCACAGCTTGGAAACCTTAGAAAACACAAAGATGATGCTAACTCACCCGGTTTTACAGATGTTGATCTAACGTTTGGTGTGGTAGCAGTTGATAGTCATCCTCAACACAGACTGTAAACAATACATAATTGCTTAAGGGCTTGCAATATTTATTGTGACTGTATATAATGTTTTTTTTTTTTTTTTTTCATAGTTTGGCGAAAAAGCTTAAAACGTGACCACTTTTGAATGTCTTTGATACTCTGGCCCATTAGGAGGCGGGTGATACGCGTTCTTTCAAGGAATGCTAGGTCCTTGATTTAATTAAACAATTTTTTTCTTTGTTTAATGTCTTTTTTTGTTGTTGTTATGCCAGATCTAAATAGTAAAGGTAAAGCAGCATGTCCATCGTTACATTAGAGATGTTTCGGTCGATCGGCCACTGATCATGATTGACCGATTTCTGTTAATATCAAAATCAGAATCATCGTCTGATACCGATCAATGCCTTTCACTGCCGATAACAAAAACCAATCACATTTGCCGAAGCCGCTCCATTTGCAGCCTGCTGAGGTCTGCTGGTATATTTATTTAAGAAATGTTTATTTGACTTTCTACACTGTTTAACCTGTTGAGAGCCTTAATGTTTTTCAATCTGTTAGTCAGTTACTGATATCAAGTACATTTAGGTGTTTTTCAGTTGTCCTTTTAACTGAATAGTTGATGTATTGTGCCGGCAACTTTTAAAATTTTTTTTTGTCTTGAAAAGGTAAATAAAAATGTTTTTGTCCAAATTAAGGTGATTTGATGGTTCCTATTTTCCAGATCGTGTAACAAGTGGCACTCATCTTAACTAAGTCAAAAAAAAATTACAGTCAATTCAATTCAAAAATTATTAATCCCAAAGGAAAATTAGTGTTTAGACATACAGCTGAAGGTGCCGGGGGATGATCCCGGTCCTCCCATTGTCACGAGCTGAGTTTTCCACCAGCTCCAAGATCTCGGCGGTCAGGTACTCGAGCACCGCCGCCAGGTTGACGGGAGTTCATCCACGGCGCCTCCTTTTCAACTCATTTGGGATTTGGGGTCGTAGCTGAGGTATTTGAGCTTATGAGATGTTAATCAGCTGCTCCTGGTTATTAAAAAAAAAAAAACCTTGTTGCCATGGTTACGCATCATAACAAATGCCCATAAGTTAAGATGTTTCAGCAAAAATCCTCCCAGCTGCACAGCATCTCATCCCAGAGTAAATAATCATCCGAAAAAAGCGATGCATTTCCAGAAAAAAGAGGAATTAAAGTTTTCAACAGCAACATCTCAGAATGAAAGTAACAGAGCTGCTCCAACGTGCAGCCATCCCGAGCGGCACAATTCTACAAGATGATTTTATATCCATGTGATCGGTATCAATGATCAGCGTCACACGTGATCCGTATCGGTGATCGGCAACAAGAAATCTGATCGGAGCATCCCTACATTACATAAATGGACCGCTCGTCGGAGTGTTACAACAAAACACTGGAGCTGAAGTAAAGTCTTACTACAACAAAAGTTATTTTTTGTTGTTGAAGTTTTCACAGATGTCTATATAATTTAGCCTTAATTTGCTGTATTGAAGGAGATGGCAAGAAGCCCAAACCAAATCTGAATAATAATAAAATGAATTCATGGAACATTGGCAGAAACAAAGTCTGGACTACAAACACAAGGAAGAAAAGCAGAAGCTGTTTGATTTGGATGCAAATCAGAAGCTATGAGTGGTTTCACAAGTCCAAACCAAGCAGGGAAACTTTATCTGTAATCGTTCACATCTGTCCATCAGCAAGGACAACAAAACGCCGCCATGACATCATCACTGTCGTGGCTGCTTGTTTCCACTGATAGAGTCCAGCATTCTTCACATGTTTCTGCCCTTCTGAGCTCCAACAGGACATATCTGTGACTCTCTGATAAACATTAGTCGTGGAAGTGTTGGGATTAAATCACTTACTGGTGATTTAGCCAAAATTTCAAGTCTTTTATTTATTTATTTGCGTTTAGCTTTCTCTGCACGCTCCAGATTTTTTTTTTTGTCTTAATCTTTTCTGGATCAAAAGCTGAACAAGACCATACCCTGACTTGAGTTTCCATATCGTTGCAGACGCAGAGCCCAAGTACCTGGTGGCGGTGCAGCCGATCCCAGCCAACGATGTGAAGAAACAGTGCACAGGTGCGTTAGCTGTACGGTTCAACCCACCCTGGAAGGTTCCTGGGGAGTCTCACTGTTCTCGAACGTTCCCCGGCAGGTAAAGTGAACCTGGAGAAGCCGCTCCACCTGGTGATCGGCTCCGTCAGCCCCACGGCAGTGCTGCTGTCCTGGGGAAACCACCTGAAGACGCCCTACGAAGGGAACGTCATGAACGAGTGTCTGGAGGATGGGTGAGTGTCTTTAAACTTTCGTAAAGAAACTCAATTTGTTTCTTGAGTTTATTTGTTTTTTATGTTTGTCTCTAAAGAATTCACTGCCCAGTCAGGGGGCGATGACCAGGAAAGGTTGGACTGCTACCGTGTTCCACGTTCATGACCGAAAACTGTTGGGAACTTGTGATTTCTGATTATTTCAAAAGCTTCTTTGTCCAGCTGCTTCTATCCAATCAAGATGATGAATTATGACTCTGCAAACGGCTGCTGTTGTGTTTGAACCCTTCGGCTGTGTTGAGAGATCCTACACGGACTTTTTCCCGCCTCCTACGGCACACTTTTTTTCCCGCCCTGTCCGACGGGTTGGAGAAAGCGTTGGAAATCTTGAGCCAGCAGTCCTCCGTTAGCTCCTATTAAAGCTAACGTCAGCTCCTTCTGCAGAGTGTTTGGCTTCAGCCTGAGATGTTTTGGACCCCTGCTCTGAAAAACACAACTTTCAGAGAGTGAAAGTGGAGATGGAGCGGTTACGCGGCCAGAATTAACAACATCGTTGTTTCCACGCTGAGGTCACGGCGGCTGCAGGCAGCCAGAGAGAAACCACACGGCTATGTTTGTCATTCACGTGTCCAACCTCACCGTCTTGTTAACCCGACACCTTCAGAGCTGCAGCCGGTTTGACAAGACCCAGACCTGCAACTACAGTTTTCAGTGGGTCCTAGATCATTCTTCAGATTCATCAGAACATTTGTTGATGAAACATCTGGTTCTGATTGGTTCTGAGGTGTTAGTTTACAAGATTCTGCCTAACCCCTCGGAGTTCAAGTTCTTCAACAATATAAAGTCTGACATTATGTTGTTAATATTTAAAGTAGTTATTGAAGATGTGGAAATAATACTGGGTGTTTTATGGTATAACAATCATCTATTAAAGACTTTTCCTGACTTCTGTAGCTCTGAGTTTTTCTAAACTCTTAGCTTTTGTTTCCCCACATTTACTCTCAGCTTTAATCTTAAAAATGAAAAAAAAATTTAACAACAAGATAAAAGTAATTTTCTGCTTAAATATAGATTAGACGCCTAAATGACTGCTGAACTTTGCTGAATAAGTTGAAACTGAGCTGAAAGCTAAAATGTGCAAAATGCTAGTTAAAAGAAGCAAAGTGCTAATTTAAAGTGCCAAAAATACTAGCCAAAAGTAGCAAAATACTAGGGTAAAGGAGCAAACGCTAGCTAAAACCTAAAAGCAGCGAAGCACTAGCTTAAAGTAACAAGTCACTAGCTAAAAGTAGTAAAATGCTAACTTAAATAAGCAAAACACTATCAAACTCTAAAACAAGTAAGCTGCAAACTAAAAATCCAAAATTCTAGCTAAAAGTAGTAAAATTATAGCTAAAATATGCTAAATGAAAGTTAAAAGTAGTAAATGACTAGGTGCAATTATAAGTGCCTAAAAGCTAAGTAAACATATAAGGATACAAACTGCTATCTAAAAGCTAAAGTAGCAAAGTGCTAGTTAAATGTCACAAAACACTAGATAAAAGTTTATTATTGCTAAGTAAAAATAGCAAACCCCCTAAAAATTGCCCCTAAAAGCTAGTTGGGTAGAGATTTAAAAGACCAAGAGTAAAAGCCTGAGGAACACCGTACATCCAGTCCTATGAAAAATAAATTCCACCTTCCTTTGGATCTTTTTCATTTATTTTCCAAAATATTGATGTGTTGGAATCTGGAGTGTGTTTTTGTTCTTTTGAGGTTAAATGTAAATCATTTTAGAATTTGTTAAAGACCACATCTGTTCATTATGTTCTAAAAACAAGGAACCGAATTACATAAGCAATTTATCCACATTTAAAACTAAAAACCAAAAGGACCGAGCACTGGACCCTGAGCAACCCCATAAGTGATTTTTTTTTCATCCGATTGTGTGGATTTGTCTTCATTAATCCTTCAGCCAGTTATGAATAATGATCTTATGTCCTCCTTCAGGTTTTACACAATCCGCTACAGAGAGAGGAACAGGAAGTGGATCTACCAGACGTGTCCAACCAGTGACACGGTGGTGGATAACCTGAAGCCCAACACCCCATATGAGTTTGGTGTTCGCTCCAATAAGGACAACCGGAGCGGCATGTGGAGCAAACCGGTCATCCACAACACCAACACGGGCAGTAAGGAATGCTCTTTCCACCAATCAGAGAATGTTTACCATCTTCATTATTTCACTTTCCAGGAAGAAACTGTGAATAATCATCATTTCTTTCTCTTTGTCTTATTATTCTTTACCAAAACGTGCTACTGGAAGTATTTTTCTTCTAGATTTTTTTTCTTGAAATAACTGAGCTGTTTATTTTGTCTGCAATGATGTAATTTAGACTTTTTCTTAATGTTACAGATAAAAACGCTCAGCAGCCGTACAAGCAGCACCATTCTCTATCAAAGACGATGGTATGTGACCTGCTGCACGTAGAGGCTGATGTGTTCAGACGTCACTTAAATTATCAAAGCTGAACTAAACCTCACACATGAAGGGATCTAAAGAAAGTCTAGTCGGCCTGTTCTTTCATTCAACAGGAGGCGTACGTTTCAAAAAACTATTTTACCTTTGCAGGATTTGTAAGTGTGGTGGCAACAATTCGTGAAGATTTTTAATCAAATATTTAATGGTAGCTCTTCCAGTTACAGACACAGATACATTTGCACAATCCTTCCTACTTTCTGCAGGATTTAAAGCATCTTTACAGCAATGGTTCATGCAACAGTTAGCGCACCTGTTTAACATCATTTTATCGTTCATGCCTTTGGTTTTTCTTTTGCAGAAACCACGGCCCTTCCTCCCTGTTCGCCCTGGTAAGCTTTCTGAATAAACGCTTATCTGGTTGTAGCCCTCTGTGGTGATGACAAAAAGTCAGGGGGTGAATTGTAATTTTTAATAATGGCTGATTTGTTTGCAGCTCTGCACAACAGCACAAGACCTCAACACTCCTCTTTGACCAAATTCCCTGGTTTCCCAGGCTCTCCACGCACCTCATTTGGTGATTATCTCCAATTTGTTCCTTCCTTTATGCTTTTTTTAGGGTAGCAGAGTCGTGTTTATGGACCTCACAGGCTCCCAGAGCGGTTCAACTGATAAAAATAGTGATTTAAAGAAAGACCCTTTATCAGTTGAGCCGGAGCTGCAGTTACTTCTTCAGAACCTTTCAGCTCTGGAGGTTCTTGATTTTCTGCTCCTGTTCTTCACCTCATAAAACAGAGTACTGTTTCCTACAGAGTCGCCTGAGAGCCAGCAGGAAACTCTCCCTCTGCCGGGCTCTGAGCCCAAACTTACCTCCGAGTCGCCTGGTAACCAGATAGACGCTCTTTTGTTTTTTTAACCATCAGCTTCACTCATTCATGCAGCTGGGAGGGGGCGGGGCCAGGGCCTGCAGCTGCTGTGATTGGCTGCACGTTAGCATGCACAGAGTCAGAAAGTCGATACCTGGAGGTGACGTCGCAGAGGAGGAGTAAGTTGACTTGGCCCCACCCACTCCGACAGCAGGGTCATGTGACCACAGTCATGCTTCAGCATCCATCAACTGCCGTTTATCTCCACATCATCTCTGTCACTTTGCCCTTTTTCTGTCTTTTTATACCTTAATTCTCTTTTTTTCTCCTGAGGCAACAGGCAACACAAACAATACGTTTGTAGAAAGTATTGGCCTCATTATTGTTGGGGAAAAAACAACTTTAGACTTTAGCATTGCTACAAAAACCAACAGATTCATTCCCATTCAGTCAGTTTGTGGCTCTTGAGCTGAACCGATCCTCAGACTCTGTGAATACCTCAGAAAACACATAAATCTACAGTTTCCAGAGAATACTTCTTAAACTTCTTATAGTTTCACTTGAGTCATCCAACAGATGTAGGTTATGACATCTTTGGTTCAGTAAGAAACTTATCACAGGACACTAACAGAACTGGTCCAAAGGTCCTAGGTCATTTTGAATTTGGTGTGCAAAAGAAGGTCATTCTGAAGAGATGAATCTGCAGGTAGAATGAACTTCCTGCTTTGGTAGACTCGTTCCACCATCATGAAGTCACTGCTGAGAACAGTTCTAGACTGAGATTGCCTTGTTTGTAGGGATGGCAGAAACAAACAAGGTTCTTAAAAGGAAGCCAGTGGCCCAAACATCTGCTTAAGACCCAGAAATCTCTTTTTAGGCAGCATTAGGACCAGAATTGGACATCCGTGTTGTAGACAAATGAAACATTTTCACTCGAGGCCTAAATGTTCTATCTTCTGTTTCCATCTCCATCCATCTGTCCATCTGTTCTCATCATAAAGAGAAGGAAATAATGATCAGATCTTTAGCTGATTCTGTAGGTTTATCCACTTACAAATAAACAAGAAGTAATAAAGTAATGAGTATTTGATCTTCAAACAAAACTTGACTAGATGGTTTTCTGGTTTCTACACATCTCAGGAGGGAAACTAAATCCTTCAAGCTTCAGGTCCTCCACAGACTTTCTATAAGACTGAGGTTTGGGGACTGGCTCGGTCGCTACAGAACCTTAGTGCGTTGTCTTTAGCTACTTTTGTTGCCTTGGCGGGATGTTTTCATTGTTCTGCTGGAACCCATTCACAACCAGTTTTTATTTTTCTGGCTGAGGGAAGAATGTTCTAGTCCAAGATTTATGATACATGTCCCCGTCCAATGGTGGTGAAGACCTCCTGTACCTTTAGCAGAAAAACTGCCCCAAATCATAGTGTTTCCACCTCCGTACCTAACAGAGGGGATGGTGTTCTTTGAGCCGTAGTGAACTACGTCCAGTTGACGCCAAAGAGCTGGCTTCTGGTCTCATCTGACCCCAGAACTTTCTCTTAAGCCTTCAGTGAAATGTTTATGGGTTCCCTGGAAAACTGACCTGAGTACATGGGTCTTCTTCAGCAGTGGCACCTTCAGTCCATCACAATGTAGTGTGGTACCAATAGTGTTTTTACTGATTCCTCCTGTGTAGTTAAGGATGGATCTCTCAGCCTTCTCAACATTATTTATAGTCCATGTGGAAGATGTTACATGCAGCTCTGGACTCAGGACCACTGATAGCTTTTTTTTATGAAAAATGGCATCAACAGTTTCTCCTAAGCTTCTTGCTGATAGGCCGTGGTCCACTCCAGGCTTGTTCAGATATACAGTCTGATCATTGCAGTCCCCTGACAGACCTTTGGTCTGATCAGTGGTTAGTATGGAAGGAATCTGTAGATAAATGGGCTTCACAATCAAAACTAACTGAAATCAGAACGGTCTAATTAGTTGGTTGGCTGCAAATCTATTTGTAACTTTTCTATAACGTCCAACAAAGTTAAAGTCGGGCCCACTGGATGGGTTCATTTTGTTGAAACGTTTCGTCTTTCATCCAAAAGAGTTAATCAATCCGAGGAGCTGCAACAAACAGTCTCATGAACAGCTCCTTCCCATAGTGGGCCAACCAGTTTGATGGTGCTCAGATGGTTTCTGTAGTCCGCCCTCTCCCCCGCCGACTCGTTTGAGGCAGTCATGGCCAAAGTGGTTCAAAACATCCTGATTCATGCTCAATAATTAAGTCAGGTCCTCTGACGCTTTCTTTTCTTTAATTATTTTTTTTTGTGTTGAGTTTTGTCTCTATTCAAATGGAACAACAAGTGGACAAACGTCGAAGTTTAGTAGAAGATCAGATCATTATTTCCCTCACTGTATCTGCATCATGTTACCTCAGACTGCATGACAGGACTGCATGTCAGTCCGTTCAGATGTGTTGAGACTTTCCTTCTGGTAAAAAGACAGCTCAAGTTGTTCTACTAAACCCTCTTCAAGTACATTTCTAAAATTTCTGTACTTCTATAGTATTGTTACTGGGACCAGAAGTTAAACATCTGGACTGTTTTCTAGTTCATTATACCAGAATTTTGTAAATTATTTGGAAATGAATGTAGGGGGAAAAAAAATAAATCTGTTCTTAAATTGGATCCAGACGAGGAGGATGTTCTTCACAGTTTAAAACCCAACGAGTCTCAGTTCTCGGAGCTGTCTGAAGGAAAGTCTGAAGTTACGTGTCTGGACGGAAATGATCAAAGTTCAGTCAGTCGGGAACCAGAACTGTCTTCTTGGTTCTGATCAGTCGGATCACTGTACCTCTCTCCTCTCAGGAAACACTTTTAGGACCAACAGAACCCGACTGGCAGATCGTCTGACTCCTGCCATCCCCAAACTCCAGCCCACCACCTCTGCCACTACCACCACAACCACCACAACAACAACCATCACCACCACCACCTCTCTAATCAGCACCACTTCCTCCCCCACCACTATATTATCTTCCAATGGTGGCTCACTTCCTGGGCAGAGCACTAAGGCCTCTCCCACTCGTGCGCCCGAGAAGCGTCCCAATCCTGCGGGTAATTTCCACCTACAGCTTTCACCTTCTGTTAAGCTCCTGATTACCATTGACTCCACTTCTTTTTTTTTTTTACACAGGATGACTGTTTCTGGTTTTAACTTTTCAGGATGTGCACCAACTCACAAGTTATAAAATGTTTTGTTTTTTGGAGTATTTAAACACATTTTCCTCACACAGCTGTCCTCAGATCACAAGATGGCTCCTCGCTGCTCAGATCAGCACTAGCCAATGAGAGAGCCAAAGCTAACACTTGGGGTAAAGATCTGCTTACTGTCTAGCAGTCGTCTGTCTGCTCCTTCTGTCCAGTGTTTTTTGTCCACAGGTCTGGCTGCTCCACTCATTTTAGACTCATCTCATTCAGCATCTGCATGCAACACCGTCTTGAGGTTTCCATAGATCGTTGAAGACTCGTCATAATCCTTCATTTATCCATTTACAGACATGGATAAATGGATCCATTCATTAAAAAAACACACACACACAAAGGTCACTGAAATGACTAATAAAAGTAATAAAAAGAAAAAATATTATGTCAACTAATGATCAGTCTTTACTTAAAAATTTTGGTTCAAGAAAATATACTTATATAAAAACAACTAATGAAAGTGACCTTGACTAAAAGATGGTACCCTTAACATTTCGTTGCACAACTTTTCGAGGCAATCACTGTGACCAAGTGATTTTTGTAACTCTCTCTGCTCTCTTGCTAAAAAGTTCCTCTTTTGTCTCATCTGTCCAAAGGACATTCTTCAAGAAGCTTTGTGACTTGCCTTTTAGCAAATTCCAGTCTAGCTTTTTATGGTTGGGTGTCCTCCTTGGACGTCTTCAATTAGGTCCACTTTGGCGCAAACAATGACAACTGGTGCAATCTGACATGATGAAACTTAACCTTTGAGTTCACCAATAATATATATAGAAGTTCTTCTGGGCTCTTTGGTTACAATTCATATTATCTGTCTCTTTAATTTGTCACCAGTTTTCCTCTTGTGGACACGTCCAGGGAGGTTGTCTTCAGTCCGGTGGACCTTAAACCTTAAAATAATCTGTGCAGCTATGGTCGCAGGAACATCAAGCTGCTTAGAGATTATCTTATAGTCTTTACCTTTACCAAGCTGCTCAATAATTTTCTTTCCAAGTTTCCAAGACAGCTCTGTTTTTAGCTTTCTGTGCTCCATGTCCAGTGTGATACATACCGTGATACCAAACAGAACAGTGACTACTTTTCACCTTTAAATAGGTAGACTGACTGATTATATGATTGAAGACACATGTGATGCTAATAACAGGACCCACTTTAATTTAACATGTCCCTGTGAGTTTCAGAATTTTATAGAGGTACCATCCTTTTTAGGGGCTATGATGGGGTAGAGGTAGGTCAGCCGACCTGGGACCAGAAAGTTGTGGTTCGACAGCCATTCCCGCATGTCGTGTTGCTTCTGAGCAAGACACCCATTCTCTAATTGCTCCCCGGGCGCCTACATAGCTGTCCAGTGGTCCACCTGGGTGTATCCCAGGTGTAATGGGTTAAATGCAGATAACTAATTTTGCCATTGTATGGGAACATACAATGATGACAATCTCAAACTTCCCTTCCCATCCCTTCTCTTTTTGTCAAGGTCAGTTTTAATATATCTGTTGACCCAGTTTCATGGTATTTCAGAGACCTATCTGTTTTTTCCTTTAAGGAATTACTCCATGTCTGTTTTACACCAATTAAACAACATCCGAGGGTTCATCACTAACGCCTCAGGGCTTCTTTTCCATCCCAGATAAAGAACACATAATGAAGGCCCTCTGCAACTGTTTCTGATTTTTTTTCTAGGTCCAAGCAGCAACAGAAACATGAACCCTTCACTGCCTTTGAAACCCTACAGCCCAGCAGCGTCCTCAGTGTCCAGATCTATGAGGCCTGGATCGAGAAACCCCCTCTATCCATTCTCTAACGGCTTCAGACAAACCCACTCATCCTCTAGTTCCAGTAACTCGTTCCCGTCCTCAGGGATACTTGGGGGTAATCCTCCTCCCGTCTTTTTCTTCTCACATTTCTCCCTCAGGCTAACACTTTAGCTCCTTCTGACATCAATGATCCTACTGATTACACATCTGTCTGATAGATCAAACACCCAGCAGTTTCCTGACCATTACCAAGAAACTGACTTTAGGTAAAAGAGTGCTTCAGAACAGTAAATGTAGTTGTAACATCAGATATTCTGTTTATGGTTAGACATGAATTTTATCTTAGATGACTTGCATCAGGCATTATTAACAGAAAACCTGAAGGTGTCCTCACTTTAATACACATCTGGAAAACAGTTTGATACTTTTGCTTGCTGACTTCCATGATGTCAAACTCACTGTTGGCTGTTAAATGAACCTCACAGTTGAACAACCAAACAAGTCTGCTTTCTTTTAGTGTTTGAAACGTTTTTGATCAATTTATTGATATTCTAAACATCCCAGGTGGCATCTGAAATGGTTACCTTATAATTATTTTTCCAGTTTGAGAAATTCCAGCTCTGAGATGGGCTACATGAAAACATCTTCTAAAATGTTTGTAGATGGAAGTATAGATTTCCCCATGACAATTCATTCTGCTATGAAGGCCGGCATGCAGTTACATTTATTTAACACAGTTCATGTAGAACTTACTGTCAGGCTAAAGTGAGACGAACAGACAAACATACTGAATGGAGACTGAGTTCTGAAGTTTGTCCGGACTGTGAGTCACTGGGATGCTGCACCTCACATCAAACCTCAAAATTCAAAGCTTCAAATTCCCAACCTCTAAATTCTAACCTTTAAGTCCCAACCTTTAAGTTCCAGCCTCCATGTCACAACCTCTAAGTTCTAACCTCTAAGTCCCAACTTTTAAGTTTCAGCCCCCAACTCCCAACATCTAAGTTCTACTCTTTAAGTCCCAACGCCCAAGTCACAACTTCCAAGTTCCAACCTCAAAGTTCCAACCTTTAAGTTCCAACCTCCAAGTTGCAATCTCCAAGTCCCAATCTCCAAGTCCTAACCTCCAAGCCAACACCTTTAAGTCCTAACCTTTAAGTACCAACTTTTAAGTTTCAGCCTTGAAGTCCCAACATCTAAGTTCTAACATTTAAGTCCCAAGTCCCAACTTTTAAGTTTCAGCCTCCAAGTCCCAACATCTAAGTTCTAACCTTTAAGTCCCAACCTCCAAGTCCCAACCTTTAAGTTCCAGCCTCAAAGTCCTCACCTTCAAATTCCAACTTCCAAGTCCCAACCTCCATATTTCCAATTTAAAGTTCCAGCTTCCAAGACCCTACCTCGGAGTCCTAACCTTTTAAGGCTCGGCTTCCAAACATCAATCCCCAAGTCCCAACCTTTAAATTCCAACCTCCAAGTCCTAACCTTGAAGTTCCAGCCTTGAAGTTCCAGCTTCCAAGTCCCAACTTCTAAGCATCAAACACCAAGTTCCAACCTCTAAGTTCAAACCTTGAAGTCCCAACCTTCAAACTGCAACCTCCAAGTCCCAACATCTAAGTTCTACTCTTTAAGTCCCAACGCCCAAGTCACAACTTCCAAGTTCCAACCTTTAAGTTCCAACCTCCAAGTCCCAATCTCCAAGTCCTAACCTCCAAGCCAACACCTTTAAGTCCTAACCTTTAAGTACCAACTTTTAAGTTTCAGCCTTGAAGTCCCAACATCTAAGTTTTAACATTTAAGTCCCAAGTCCCAACTTTTAAGTTTCAGCCTCCAAGTCCCAAAATCTAAGTTCTAACCTTTAAGTCCCAACCTCCAAGTCCCAACCTTTAAGTTCCAGCCTCAAAGTCCTCACCTTCAAATTCCAACTTCCAAGTCCCAACCTCCAAATTCCCACTTTAAAGTCCCAACCTTGAAGTTCCAGCTTCCAAGACCCTACCTCGGAGTCCTAACCTTTTAAGGCTCGGCTTCCAAACATCATTCCCCAAGTCCCAACCTTTAAATTCCAACCTCCAAGTCCTAATCTTGAAGTTCCAGCCTTGAAGTTCCAGCTTCCAAGTCCCAAGTTCTAAGCATCAAACACCAAGTTCCAACCTCTAAGTTCAAACCTTGAAGTCCCAACCTTCAAACTGCAACCTCCAAGTCTCAACCTTCAAATTACAACTTCCAAGTCCAACCTCAAAGTCACCACAGCCAAACTATTAACCTTCAAGTTCTAACCTCACAGTCCAAATCTCAAAGTGCTAAGCTTCCAATATCAAACGGCAAGTCCCATGTTTCATGTCCAATAATACAGTTTTACTGGTTTTGTTTACTGGCATTCGTTTAGGGTTCAGTGAGACTGAAACAGAAAATTTTACTATTCTCCCACAATTTGAGCCTCCAACTAGTCTCTAACTAGTCTCCAACAGTGGCAGCCCAGTGAGATCCTACATTAAACCATTGAATTGATCATAGCAACTGTTCTTGCAGACCTCTATTCTGGACTGTCTTTGAAACAATAGAATGATGAGTTTTACTGAACATGTCACATCTTTTTTTTTAATTATTTAGGGGAATTTTCTTCTTGATTATAAATAAATAAAGGAAGCTCACTGTCCAACATAAGGAATGAACTCAAATCCCGTGATTCTGTAATGTTAACCACACATGCTGTAAAGAACAAGATTGCCACTACAGGAAGACCCATCTGAACTGACCATGTCCTGTAAAAGATTGACATTATGACAACTGATTTTTAGTTTTAAAGCTTCAGGGTGACAGTTTTAAAAGTCAGATCCTCTGTCATAAAATATATATTACTCTTTAAAAACAGTTCTTTTAAAAATATCCCATTCCCCTTGTCTTGAAATAAAACATTCAACAGAGACCAAAGCAGCGTCAGGCTGAAACCTGACTATTTCTGCTGTAAAGGGTTCTGGCAAGTGTTGGAGCCACAACAGCTCATCAAAAAGCTGCTGTTTTGATCTCTTCTAATGTTTATTTCATATAGGTTTGGACATAAAAAGATCTATGTGTAGATATAAACCAGTCTGATAAAATGTCTGAAGACGAGCAGTTTCTCTTTAGTTTTCTTTTTCTATCAAGTTTGGGAACACAGCAGCTAAAATGTTTAAAACTATTTTTGAAGGCATTCTTTAAACTGAGTGTCTATAAATCTGACAATCATCTACTGACAGGACTAAAAGAGACCAGATGCATTCTGCAGAAACTCAAAGATTTGTCTGCTCTTTAACTTATCACTGCCATCTTTGGTGTCCCAGAAGGATTCCTGGAAAATATAGATATTAAAAAAAAAGATTGAAGTTATGTTGGGCCATGTTAAAGAACATTGTGATTTTGTCCAGATCAGATTCGGTCCAGATCCCAGGCTGTGCCTGTGCCTGTGCCTGACACCATAGGGACACTTTAGTGGTTTGTGTTTGACACCTTTAAAATCCTGAAGTTCGGAAAAGACTGGGTCCTTCAGAAGGTCTTGGTTGGTTGTTCTTGTGTTGGGTTCAGTTCTCAGAAACAGATTCTATCCCCTCCTAACACTCAGTTTTCTCCCTGCAGTAAATGGACAGCCACACCGGGGCCTTTCCCCACCCAAACCGGCCTTATGGTTCAGAACTCGACTGGGTAAAAAGTCCTTGTTTGTCCATCTGTGTCTCATCATTAACCCTCCAGTCGCTTTGCAGCATTGTTCATTTCTACTGCAGCTCATGTTGGTGTTTAATGTCCACATTCGCTGTGTGTATTAATCCTTTTTCTGTTCATCATTCTTCCCATCATCCATTTGTCCATCCATGTCCATCCATGCCACCTGTTGTTCTCCATGTTTCAGCCTCCAGTCAAGCTTCTGCTGGGCTCAGCAAAGCTTCTGGCCGAAGGTCGTTCAAATAATCAAGATGTTGATTATTTGACTTGGTTTCATAAACGCTTTGTGTGCTGATGGTGGGTGTTATTCTGCTGGGGTTCTGATTTCTGCCTTAAGAGATAATGAGCGCCATCATACTAACACAGTTAGTTGAAGTTTTCAACTAACTTTATCAGTTTTGAGGCAATACCAGTTTTTGGGATGGAACACCTTAAAAAAAACTTTACTCATTTTAAGTGAAAGCAGATGACTCCAATAGTAAATCTGCTGGTTTAAACCAAAAAATGGGCACCCTAGTTACCATTAGATTTCCATTAGTTTCCATTAGATTACCATTGCTAATCAATATTTCACCATTGCTTATCAATATATTATCATTAGTTACCATTATCTTGCCAGTGGTTATCAATACATCACCACTGGTTATTATATTACCATTAGTTATTAATATATCACCATTAATTACCATTATATCACCACTGATTATAATTGTAATACCATTGGTTATTAATACATCACCATTGGTTATCATTATATTGCCACTGGTTATCAATGCATCACCATTGGTTATCATTACATTACCATTAGTTACCATTATATCAC